GGTCAGAAGGAAATATAATTATTGAAAACTTTTTTTAGATTTTTTTTTTTTTTTTTCAAACACGTTAAATTAAACGAAAAAAGCAAAGAAGAAAAATTTCAAAGTCCTCTCACTCTACATTACATATTAAAATAATAATAATAATAATAATAATAATAATAATAATAATAATGATAATAATAATAATAATAAAGAATGAATTATTATAAAGAACGATCAACAATTTTTTTCACGTGAGTCCAAATTTTTAAAAACAAAAACTTTTCTTTTTTTTTCTTAAATTTTTAAAATAATAATAATAATATATCGATTTATTTAAATTATTATTATTATTATTATTATTAATGAAGAAAAATTTTTAATTTATTAATTTAATTTAATTTTTTTTTCTCTTTTTTTTTTTTTTTTTTAAATAAATAATATAAATGTCCCGCAATCATTTTTTTTTTTTTCATCACTTTTAATATAATTAATTAATTAATTGTTATGTGTATTTATTTATATATATATATAATTAATTATTATTATTATTATTATTATTATTATTATTATTATTAAATTTCGATTTAATTGATTAAGTATTCAGCCAGTGTGTAGGGGGGAGGGGAAAGGAGGAGGGGGAAGGGAAGGGGGTAAGTACCAGCCAGCATCCACAATGCCGACACACGTTATCATCATCTTCTCTCATTTTAAAACTTTGTATTATCTGATGGAGTGTTTGCTCCTCTCTCGCTGGAGAATAAACATTCAATGACTGAATGATTGATTGAATGAATTAATCGATCCTTTAAATTGTGTTTGTGTTTGCGAGCGTGTACGAGCGGGTATGTGTTTGTTTGTGTGTGTTTAAAGTGTGTATGTTCGTGTGAAGTGTGATTACATTAAAAATTTTTATTTTCCAATATCGTTTGTTTCTTTTTGTTTGTTTGTTTGTTTCTAGTACTATTATTATTATTATTATTATTATCTCGCAAAACCATTACGTGGGCAACAAAAAAAATTTTTTTTTTTTTTCGTGATTCCTCGTCGTTTTCGTTTGTTTTTTTTTTGTTTTTTTCAACTTTGTGATTAATATAATAAATTTGTTTGTTTGTTTGTTTTTATTATTATTATTAATATTTACTGTTTGTTATTATTAATTTATTTAAAAAATTTCCGACTACACGGCAGTCTCCGTATGACTGTGAGAAGATAATTTTTCAACGTCAATATCCGGTATCATAAGCTCATCCGGCACGTTATCCGCGTATTCGATGGAAGAGGTTTGAGAGAGACGCTTGTTGAAAGATGATTGCTTACGTAGTACTTCCGTCAGCGTGGGATTGAATCCATCGTATCTCGTGTCCAAACCCTGACGGAAGGCGTTAACAACGCGAATCTGTAACGAGAAATCTCGTGAGCGTCAAATTTTTTTCCATTTAATAATTGCCTAGGAGAAAAAGATGCGAACATCGAATGTTTAACAAAAGACACCAACATAAAAAAAAAAAAGTCCCGAAAATAAAAAAAAAAAAAAAAACCCCATTCCAATAACATTCTGATGCCCTTCTTATTCTCCTATCTGGAAAAACTTTTTTTCCTTCTTTGTATTTTGTACAAGTTTGAGAGAAAGGGAAAAAAAAAGTTTTTCCAGATTCGTTCGTTATTCGATTATTAATAATTTTTTTTTTAATATTGGCATCCCTGCATGTTAATAATAAAAAAAAATAAAAATAAACTTTTCAGCGTTAGTTTCCATGCTTCGCCATTGAGAAAAAAAAAAAAAAAAAAAATTTACAGACATTTATCTCTTCTTAATTTAATTAATTTATAACGAATCAAAAGAGCAAAAAAAAAAAAAAGATTTTTTCCATAATGCTGGACAAAGAGAGAGAGAGAGAGAAAGAGAGATAGAAAAAAAAATAATAATAATGATAAAACGCATTTTTTTTTTTTTTGCCTTTTTGTTTTCGGCGTTTAACGTATTATTTATTTAAAGCTTGTGCAAAATGTGGAAAAAATCCTTTCGATTGCTGTCGTGTAAATTCACACGAAAAAAAAAAAAAAACGCAAAAAGGAAAAACCTTTTTTTAAAAAAAAAAAAAAAATGGCGTCGTTTTTTAGTTTTTGCTCTTTTGCTGCCACGGTATAAAATTTTAATTACATCAACCCTTATTTATTTATTTTGTGTCGATTGACGATTCGTTTGATTGAAATAAATAAAAAATAATTTTTTTAGTTAACAAAAAAAAAACGAAAAATTCGCGCCGACACCGGAAATTAAAATAAAAAGAAAAATCACGTGACGTAATTAGTATCAATCAAACGAATCGTCTGCTTAATTTAACTATTTTTTCTAAAAAAATTTTTTTCCCGTTTATCAAGTGCAAATAATTTTTTTCGTCTCTCTATTTTCAATTTTAACGTAAAAACAAAACGGTTCTCACGCACAAAAACAACAACAACAACAATAACAGCGACAACAACAACAACAGCAACCACAACAACAACAACTGGTAACGTCGGTGATGATAGTAACAACGAAAATGACAAAAAAAAAAAAAAACGGACTGTCGGGGGGAAAAAAAAACCAATGCAAAAAAAATTCCTATTTTCCTTTTAATATCGAATCGAAAAATTGATCGAATATCGATTTATCGAAAAATAAAAAACAAAAAAAAAAATCGAAATGCCTGCCGCCCAGCCACACACTCATCATCATCTTCATCAAACACGTTTGAAAATAAAAAAAAAAGAAAGAGAGAAAGAGAGAGAGTGTGTGTTTTCGTGTTCGAGAGAGAGATAGAAAGAAAAGGGGGGACGTGAAAATAAAATAAGAAAAGAAAAAAAGGTACAAAAATATGAATAATAAATCAATCAAAGGTTGGCAAAGGATTTTTTACCTCGTGGTATCGGCGGCCGGAGAGCAACCTTCGACGTCACGGTATCCAACTTTCCGTTGTTATCGTCTTTTCACTGTGATCCTGTTTTAAGAACCAATTTTTGTAATTTTTTTCCTTTTTTTTTTTTTTTTCGTCATATTAAAATATTTTTGTTTTATAATTTTTCACAAATTCAAATATTTTAATAAAACGATTAAGAAATATTTTAAATAATAATAATAATAATAATAATAATAATAATAATGATAATGATAAAAACGATAAACACTCAATAATCATTTTCTATATGTATAAAAGCATACATATAAACAAAAACATGTATAATATTGTACACGTGTAAATAAATAAATAAATAAATAAATAAATAACAACCCATTTGCATAAGACATTTATCAAAAGAGAAAACATTTACAATGAGCAGAACATTTATAAATAATAATAATAATAATAATAATAATAATAAAACACCATTCAATAGTAGTAGTAGTAATAGCAGTAGTAATACTTTCAGTTTTTTTTTTTTTAAATATAAGTACTTAATTATACGTATTTATATTTTTTCAATTTAAAATATCAAAAGTAGTATATAAACAGGGGAGCATAACAATTGTGCCAACATTTAAAAAAAAAAAATTAAAAAGTAGAAAAAATGTTTTCTTTTTTTTTTTTTTTTTTCCTTCGTCTTCTCTTCAAAAAGTTAACAAAAACTAAATATTAGCGTATTCGTTTATGTTATAAACCGGAAATACCGGAAACGTTTGTTTCCGTTTCTAGAATTTAAAACACTTTGAATTTGCGATTCGAATGCGTTTTAAAAACTAACCTAATAATAAAGATATTATTAATATTAAAAAAAAAAAAAACAAAAAAATTTGACCTCTGACACGTTTTTTTAAGTAAATTAAATATCGATTTTTCATTCAATTGTTCAAATTAAAAAAAAAAAAATTAGCCTGATGACAAATGGGTTGATGATTGCTCAATAAAAAAAAAAAAAAAAAATTTATTCATAAATAAATAAATAAATAATTTTAACCGTCAGGAAATCGAAAAAAAAAAAAAAGAAAAAAATTTATAACCGGAAATGGTTCTGAACAGTAAAAAAAAAAAAAAACCGACGACACAAGTGAATAGACAATAACAATACTTAATCGAGAACAAAAAAAAAAAAAAAATGGTCGAAATACAATTTCTATCCCAAATTTAACCGACTTGAAGAATCGATCAGCCTGAACCTTATCAATAATCAATCACCTAACCTTTCAACCTTTGCCTTTATCACACACACACACACACTTAACAATGACCCTAACTAAATTCAACTAAACAAAATGGCCGATTTTTTTTTTTTTTTTTAAATGTCGAACGAAATGTGGAATACCTAAACGCACACACACGAGAACCAAATTACATATCACGCCTTTCTTCAATAATAATAATAAAGGAAAAAGTGCTGAAAGGTTAGAAAAAAAAGGAATACTACTAATAATAATAATATTAAAAAGAAATTTTACAGGATTCGAGAGTGACTAATGATTAAAAAACGGGTCAAATTTTTTTTTTTTTTTTTTAGTTTTTCTCTTTAGTAATTCGCACAATGACTAACTCGACTAACTACCAACAAAAAAAAAACCGTTACATAATTATTAATTAATTATAAAAAAAAAAAAACAATTTTTTTTTTCATTTCTACCTTGTACGTTTGTGGATGTGGGTGTGCGGGGGTGTGTGTGTGTGCACACAAAACCAACATTGACCGTGTAAACAATCATTCGTTTCACTTTTCCTTTTTCCGACAAACGAAAAAAAAATTCTTTATATCGTTCTTTAAAAAAAAAAAGTTAAAAAAAGTTGAAAAAAGAAAACAAATTTTGCACAGCATTCTTAAGAAATATGTCGACGAAAAAAAAATTAACATTATAATAATAATAATAATAATAACAATGGTAAAACAAGGCAATTTACAGAAAATAAATCGATAAAGTTAATAAATTATTCGAATTTTTAACCATCTATAAACTATTCGGAATACATTTACAAAAACTAATAATTTAAATAATAAAACGAAAAAGCAAAACAAAAAAAAAATAGTCCCAAAAACGAAAACGCCTTCTAACTCGTTACAAAAAAAAAAAGGAAAATTAATAATAATAATAATAATAATAATAATAAAGCAATAACTTCCGTTTTAAGTCTATCTAACAAAAAAAAATCGCGTTAACGCGTTACATCAATATCAAACATTTTACATAAAATTTGTGCGAAAACGGAAATTCAACAAAAAAAAAAAAAAAGTAAATAAAAAAAAGGGGGGGAGGGGTTGGTCTAACGGTTGTTCAACAGGCAGCAAAAGATCAATTCGTTACAAAAACAAAAAACAAAAAAAACACAAACGAAACGAAAGAATGAAACAGAGAGACAGAGACAGAAAGAAATACAAGAAATAGATATTAAAAGAGAGACAGAGAGAGAGAGAGAGAGATAGAAAAAAAAAGAAGATGCACTTACATACTGTTCCTTTGTTAAAAAAAAAAAAACAACTATGTCATAATAATCTAAAAACGGGGGAAACTGAGTGCGCTTATTAATCACTTACTTACTTACCTTTCCGGGAATTTGCGGAAAATGTGCGGGAAAAAAAAAAAAAAAAACAAAGCACGTTCCAAGAGGAACAACGATAAAAGAAAAAAATTATTTAAAAAAAAAAACAGTAAATAATAATAATAATAATAGTTATAGTAAGATCAAGATGCAGAAAATTATTAAAGATTTTTCTTTTTTAAGCGTGTTATTTATCATCTGACGTTCGGCACTTTGTGTTTTCTTTTTTTTTTTTTTTTCTTACGCGTTCGATCGAAACTTTTAATTTTTTTTTTTTTTAAAATGGCGGAAATGAATATCGCCATAGCTAAAGACACGCACACGCACATCGACGTTCAAATTTTAATTTAAATAAAAAAAAAAAAAAAAAAAACACAAAGAACCGAACGTTGATTATTAAATCAAGAAAGAGAAAAATGTCTCAACTGTAAAATTTTTTTTTTTTTTTTAAATGTTTGAAAATTAATAATTTTCTTTTTGTTATTATTATTTATAATTATTAATAATCAAGCCCAAGTGAATTATGTAAAAAAAACATAAAATAAATGAAAAAGTTAATAAGTTAATAAAAAAAAAAAAAAAATATTAATGCATGCAAATAATGGTGATCAAATAACCCATCAAACAACAACAAATTCAATATAAATACAAACAATGTAAAAAAAATTAAAAAAAATAAAAATAAAAAACTTGAAAAACTCAAAAAAACAAAAAAAAAGGCAAAAACTAAAAACGACTAAAGAAAAAAATGGCAAAAACTCACAAAGCTAAAATAAGAAAAAAAAAAAGAAGAAAAACGAAAAAAAAACGACTGGATTGGCTTCCATTTTTTTTTGTTTTTTTCCTCGTACATTAAGCCAATCAAACAAAAAAAAAGGATTAATTGTCATTAATCCACGACAGATTAAAAAACCAAAAACAATTTAAAAAACTAGAAAAAACTAGAAAAAAAAAAAAAAAACAAAATCGTTAAAGCAATCATCAATGAAAAAGCACAAACTATCAAAAACAGAAAAAAAAAAAAAAAAAAACAGAAAAAAACAAAACATTCTAACAAAATAAAATAAAATAAAATAAAAAAAATGCCGACCGGCTCACAGAGCTCTCTAACAGGTAGAAAAAGAAAAGAAAATTAAGTAGAAGTAGAAAAATGAAAATTAAATGTGAAAACAAAAAAAAATAGAAAAATTATTATTATTATTTTACATTTAAAACCTGATCAGAATTCTGAAAAAAATTTTCCTTTTCTCGTATTTAATACCTGCAGTTATTAATACCCGACGGATTTCATTCTGTTAATTATTATTATTATTTATTTAAACAAAAAAACCTAATTGAATGGCAAAACACGAGGGACACGCAACACACGCACGTGTTATGTGCACGTGGTCAAAAAAAATAAAAATCTAAATCGTTTTGCTGTTGGTGTGCGAGTTGGTTTTAATTAATTAATTTTCTACGTTCATTTTCTTATTACTTTCGTTAAATTTTCAACAGCGAAAAAAAGAATCACACGTTAACTGCTTAACGAAAGACGAAATAAAAACAAAAAAAAAAAAAAAAAAAATTTTCGAAAATAAAATAGAAGAAAAAGAAACAGAAAGAAGAAGAAGAAGAAGAAGAAGAAAAACAAAAATTTACGTGGAGTAAATTTTCTTTTTTTTTTTTTTTTTTGCGCAAATGACATGCACAAACTGTCAACGGGCAGTTAACGTGTTCAAAAAACTATGTCAAAGGCAAAAAAAAAAAAAAAAAAAAAAGAATAGAATAGAAAAGAAGAGAAGAGTAGAAAAGAAAAGAGAAGAGAAGAGAATAGAAAAAAAAAAGGAAAGAATTCGATTTTTGACGTGCTAACTGCATACAAAATTAATACTGTATATACTACTTTAAGTTTTTTTATTACAATATGGGAAATTTTCAGCACTTCCTTTTCCCGGGGGAAGGGAGGGTAGGGGAGGGGGAGAAAGAGAGAAAGAAAGAGAGAGAGAGAGAGAGAGTCAATAGTAAAGCATGTGTCGAGAGCCTGTGGACAGCCGACTCGGACCGGAAATATATCATTTAATCATCGTTTGCAATGACCGCCAAAATCTAATTTTTTTTTTTTTTTTTTTTTAAATAAATGCCAATTAAATATAAAAATGAAGCGATATAAATGCGAAATTAAAAAAAAAAAAAAAAAAAAAAAAAAAAACTATGTCGGCGGACATAACAAACGGGTCAAGACAAACCCAAAAGAATAAAAAAATTGTAGGAAGCGGCTTACAGCTTGGTCAGTGGAGCTCTTGCTGTAGGGAACCGGAATCAACCGCTCTTGTAATTCGCCACCGATAACCTTCAAGAAGTAAAGGGCAAACACGTGAGAAAATATGACAATTATTATTATTAAACAATTTTAACAACAACAACAATAATAATAATAATAAATAAATAAATAACATGTATGTGACACAAGTGTTGTTTTCTAAAATTTTTTTTTCATAAATAAATTATACTCAAAATACAAAAAAAAGGCCGCCACGGAGAACCAGGAGTTGTTATTTGACCGCATGAAGTGCTACCTTCAAATGAAATAGATTAAACATAATCTTTAATGTAAATTATCGGAAGTGTACCCATGCGTACTTTTAAGGCATCAAGCGGTGCCGTCGCCGCTCTGCAACAGAAAGCGTTAGACCTAGTCCATCGATTGACCACAGGAAATTGTGAAGGTGCAGAGCAGAGATATTATTATTATTATTATGCGTGCGACATTTACGGCATACACTTTCAAACAATGAGACACAATGACGAAGAATTGTAAAAAAAAAATAATAATAAATAAATAAATAAATAAAATGATAATAATAATAATAATGATAATAATAGTAGTAGTGATAGTAGTAGAGTAGTAGTAGTAGTAGTAAGGAGATATCTCATCATGCAAATACCCTTTTAATCAACAGACTTGAGCCAACAAACCTGGCCGGTTAATCTGCATTTTTAGATGCTGGTTTCGTGCACCGGCCGAGGCAGCTCGAGCTGGCCGTTGCGCGAGTTCTGCCCCAGCGGCGACGGTGATTTCATCGAATCCTCGTCAGTGAAGGTGTTGTCGGATAAGTGCCGGCCAGCGTGGAGCCGGGAGCTCCGGAGACTGTGCAAGCTAAGCAGGCTGTGCACGGACCGACGCTCTTCCAGATCCTCCAACGTCGACTTGAATGCGCGGATAACACGGAGCTGCAACAGGCAAGGAGGTGAGCGGCCATAATACATGCTCGCGGCTCTGCCTCTGATATATGACCAACCAATAAATGTCTGCCTCATTCTTACTCAATTTATTTTTTAAGAGATTATACACACATATATATATATATATATCTCATGTACAAACATATACAGATATACATATATATGTATTCATAAATCAAATTAAATTTTCATTAATAAGGGAATAATAATAATAATAAGAAAAAAATTCTGTTCGTACTTTTTTTTTTAGTCCAGGAAGAAAAGCTTATTAGTCTGATAAAAAGATGAAAGTAGGTTAGTTTAAAAAAAAAAAAAAAAGAGAAAATCCCCAAAGAGAAAATTAAATATATCTTTTTTGCTGATGAAGGGATTAATGATTTTCAAGTAAATAGAAGAATGAAGAAATACATATATTTAGTAATAATAATAATAATAATAATATCTAAGCAAAAAAGAATTTGATTTCATAGTGAGTGTGTGTGTGTATCACAGAAACACGGTTAAGATAGAATTATATCAAGATGAGGAGAAGAAAAAGAAAGAAGAAAGAAAGAAAAAATTAAATTAAATTATTAAGAATAATTTTTTTTTTTTTTTTTTGCAAAGTAAGCTAAGAAAGAACTAAAATATTAAATAATAATAATAATAATAATGCCCGAGGTCTGACTCAGAGGCGGAGCGACCATATTCCTGACCGCGTGACATTCTCG